AATACAGTACGTATGTAATGTATAGTGCCTGTCCTGCGTTTGCTAATCAAGAGCTAGGACTCTCCGGTTATGGCGCCCACCACTTATTATGCCCAATTTGGTCTGGGTCTGAGGTGGGCTTAATAGCCGGCGACTACTGTAGTTAGTGTTTTACGCTTAGCCTGTTGGTAGTCAAATGTGTCACTATATAAAAAATGAAATTTTTTTACCGGAAAATTACCGGGATTATTTATATCAGCATCAGGTTTTATTGTTCTAAATCTTTTCCAAATTCTGTAACAACGACTACATGATGATAAAAGTTTTGTGAAGGTTAAATCAGTCAGCAGATATGCGCAGCCCTATTCTGAGAATCATGGGATGTAATAATTATTTCACTTTTTTCATCAAAATTGAGAAATGCCCGATAATCCGATGAGGCAGTCCATGTTACCCTGTCGAACTAGTTATTACCTACTTTAGCTCACTTGTAATGGATAGATCCAGGCCGTTTATAGGCCAGCGGCTATATATTAGGGGAATAGCGTTAATTCTGACTTACATTTTATCCTTAAAAAGGATTATTTCCGGTCTACTCTCAAATTATTTTTAAAGTTAACCGTCGTCGAACTAGTGTTGCATCGTTTGTTTACCCCACATGAAATGAGTTGCGCTCTTAAATATATTTTATTTCGAAACCTACTCATAGCGAACAGACTTCGCGTGCTACTTATGGTAAAATACGTCATCATTTCACTTTTTTCACTACAGGACAAATGGATAAATACATTTTGTAAACACTGATCAGGGGGGCGTATCTTGAATCCCAATCTTTGCTGTGACAAAAGGCACACAAGAGAGGATACAGAAAATAGAAACCTTCTGCTGTGGTTACAGACCAGTGAGGGAGGTTCACTTGCAGACAACCAGTGAGTATCGAGTTACTCATCAGCATCAGGCTGGCAACCTAATACGCAGGCCTTCACAACGCATAGTTAAGAAGAACACTGGGTAAAAGCCAGCATAACCTGAAAAAGACTGCCACTGAACAAAACAACGCGTTTTTTCGAGGTGAAAACGTGAAGAGTGAAACTTAACATCCCACCCTGAAACACCCGCACACCAGCTGCTTTTCTGTTATTATCCATACACATATAAATACAGTTGCATAGATGCGTACACCGATCTGTCAGAGGACCCACTCATCCCTCCAAATATAAATACCTTATTCGTAACTCGGTGTATCTTAAAGCATTACAAAAAGTACCCTCGACTTCAGTCCATCCTAGTAAAAGGGTGTTCGGGATGTTATTCGGAGGAGCATTGTCTGCAGGTTAAAAGTACTACAGGTAATGTTTTTTCGCAAGTATTCACTACTATATCATACCCCGTCTAAATTACAGCCAGTGTTATAGAGCCCCTTATAACTTAAACAGAAATGTGTAAGTAATAGCCTCAGTCGGCATTTAGGTAATTAGTTTAATGAACGAGTTATCGGATTTGGTGGCAACGCACAAGTTTTTATGACATAGGATAAAAATACACTCTGTCGCATGACCATTATTGACATCACAGTATCCATGACCCTTTGGAGTATAGCAAAACTATCAGTAGATCCGCTCGACTTTTTCACAAAAATACCACAAATAGTCACTGTTTTCTGCAAGTAATTCCTTCTCATATGACTTCACCGATCACAAAGACAACTTTTAAAAGCCCCTTAAATTGTGACTCCAACTAAACAGATAAAATTTGCCTGAGAGGTCAGGAGACGCTAGAAAAGATAACAGTAAAAGCAGCTGCTATAAAAAGCATGTGATAGGTATAAAATTGACGCAACTACCATAAAGCCGGTATATCACATCGACAGAACCGCTATCCTTGTTTAACATGATGGACTGCGTCCAGTCATATAAACTATTGGTCCATTTGTAACTGTCAAATACTATCGGTGATAATAACTCCTAGCCTAATATTTTTGTGAAGTCCAACAAATCGAAATTAAACGAAACAGGAATGTCGCAAAACCAATTTACCATGAAGATTTAAGTTACAAAATACCTCTTTAGTGTACAGAAGACGATAGTGGTCATATCAGAAAATAAAAAACCTTCTTCTTCATTAAACTACTTTATAAATTAAACATTAATCGTTATAGTCATAGGAGACTGCCACATGTATTTTGTACAATAAACACTTCCAAACTTTTGAGCAGAACACGTTTAATTTTTATCAACAAAAAGTGGTTAACTTCTACCTACACACCTGCTCTATTAATAATTCAGCTGTTGGATATCCCAGCATGCTCCTAGTCGTAATAGTAAAACGCAAACGGAGAACTAAATAACACGTTATTGCATGCAAGGAAAGCTCAAGAGTATTCCTGTATGTAAATAGGGAATACGAATAGTGCGTACGACGATTATTGTTGGAACGAAATACGGTAGACCCAGAAACTTTTACACACACTTCAGCTATTTGAATGTGAGTGTCTTCTGAGCCCGAATGGCCAGTATCTTCCATGTCTAGCAGAAGTAGGTAATTAAAAATCGTTTCCACTTTCGAAAACCAAATAGAATCCTCAAAACCTTCAAACAGCTTTCATTCCTGATAACTGTTTAGTTCTCAAAGGACAAACGTGTACTTGGATTGCGGCCTTTAAGAGTGAAGAAATACGGAACGAAACGTTCGGTTTCGCGAAATTAGTGAGGAGAACAGTTGAGTGCGCTTTTGTGCTCAGTGGGTAATAAACGTAGTTATTTCTTACGGGGCGGTCACCTCTATCTGCCTATCCTGTAGTTGGCAGGTATACGTATATTTGCTCAAAACAATTTAACTCTGACATAGAATTTGAACTAAGCATGTAGTACCTTAAAGTAACTACACTTTTAGTTTGTAGCACTGGAAATCTACAAAAAGATTTTCATCTGCCAACCAGAAAATAATATTCATTATTTCACTTCATAAACGATTTATGTCGTCTTAAGTATGTATTTTTTCTCAAACAAAAACATTTGCCATAAGTAACTACATACCCAATTGAACCTACAATGCGAGCCCCATGAAATACTGGGGAAAAGGCAGACGTGATCGCTGGCACGAGAACTTTATTGACCTCAAAATTCGGATTCCTTCTCAAACCAATCATCAGAGACAGTAGCATAAACGGGTATTTCATATGCAGTCGCTACGCTACTGCCTACCCATGGCAGTTAATGGTCTCTCCCTTATCGAGGGTAGTTGTGCGCTTGTACGCTTATTGCTCGATGGCCGGTATACAGGACGTGACCAGCTGAACGTTCATCATTCATACTGGATTTTGGTGCGGTAATCGTTCGAGCATCTGGCACGCTGGCACTGGCGTTGGAAGATATGTTCACCTGCGTGCTCAGTTTACGAAATATCCGATTCTGCTACTATCTCTGATGATGGTTTC